TTGCGAAATCCATTTAACATGTTAAAAATTAAGATGAACATGTTACATAATAAGATGAATATGTTATACAATAAGATGAATATGTTATATAACAAGATGAACATGTTACATACTCAGATGAACATTTTGCATTATGAGATGAATATGTTCTATGATAAGATGAATATGTTGCGTAATACATTGAAAATGTTACATGCAAAGATGAATATGTTTGATAATAGGATGAATATGTTAGATAATACTCAGATGAACATGTTACATTATGAGATGAATATGTTACAAAATAAGATGAATATGTTGGATACTATTCAGATGAAGATGAATATGTTGGATAATACTCGGATAAAAAAATTTTACCATTATGAGATGAATATGTTGAGAAATCCATTTAACATGTTAAAAATTAAGATGAACATGTAACATAATAAGATGCATATGTTAGATAACAAGATGAACATGTTATAGACTCAGATGAACATTTTGCATTATGAGATGAATATGTTCTATGATAAGATGAATATGTTGCGTAATACATTGAAAATGTTACATGCAGAGATGAATATGTTGGATAATAGGATGAATATTAGATAATACTCAGATGAACATGTTTCATTATGAGATGAGTATGTTACAAAATAAGATGAATATGTTAGATAATATTCAGATGAAGATGAATATGTTGGATAATACTCGGATAAAAAAAATTTACCATTATGAGATGAATATGTTGTGAAATCCATTTAACATGTTAAAAATTAAGATGAACATGTTACATAATAAGATGAATATGTTAGATAACAAGATGAACATGTTACAGACTCAGATGAACATTTTGCATTATGAGATGAATATGTTCTATGATAAGATAAATATGTTGCGAAATACATTGAAAATGTTACATGCAAAGATGAATATGTTATATAATAGGAGGAATATGTTAGATAATACTCAGATGAACATGTTTCATTATGAGATGAGTATGTTACAAAATAAGATGAATATGTTAGATAATATTCAGATGAAGATGAATATGTTGGATTATACTCGGATAAAAAAATTTTATCATTATGAGATGAATATGTTGCGAAATCCATTTAACATGTTAAAAATTAAGATGAACATGTTACATAATAAGATGAATATGTTAGATAACAAGATGAACATGTTACAGACTCAGATGAACATTTTGCATTATGAGATGAATATGTTCTATGATAAGATGAATATGTTGCGTAATACATTGAAAATGTTACATGCAAAGATGAATATGTTGGATAATAGGATGAATAGGTTAGATAATACTCAGATGAACATGTTTCATTATGAGATGAGTATGTTACAAAATAAGATGAAGAATATGTTAGATAATACTCAGGTGAAGATGAATATGTTGGATAATACTCGGATAAAAAAATTTTACCATTATGAGATGAATATGTTGAGAAATCCATTTAACATGTTAAAAATTAAGATGAACATGTTACATAATAAGATGAATATGTTAGATAACAAGATGAACATGTTATAGACTCAGATGAACATGTTGCATTATGTGATGAATATGTTGCGTAATACATTGAAAATGTTACATGCAAAGATGAATATGTTGGATAATAGGATGAATATGTTAGATAATACTCAGATGAATATAATACTAAGATGAATATGTTTCATTATGAGATGAATATGTTACATAATAAGATGAATACATTATATAATAAGATGAATATATTACATAATAACATTTGCTGGTTATTTATTTTTTTGTTCTCAACATTCAAACCAGAAAATATATTAAGCTCATAAAGATTGTTTGTTTTACATCAACGACACATTAATAGATCTGGGTCTGCAAAGGCAAGATAAAATAAAAATAAAAAAAACAGCCATACACCTTTACAATTGACATGGGAAACAAGTTTATAAATTTCCTTGCATAGCCATCTTGGCTAAACAAGCAAAAATTATACAAATATCCTTAAGGCTATGTTTGGTTCAACTGAGGGGAGGGGAGGGGAGGGATTTTAATGGAAGAAAGGGGAGGGGAGGGAAGGTGGTGCAAAGTAATTTTACCTTGTTTGGAGGGATTTTGTAGTAGGGGAGGGGAGGGAAAATAGTAAACTTTGTTTGGTAAGAAAATGAAAGGGGAGGGAAAATAATGTTAAAATGACAAATATATCCTTAATGATGTTATAAATAAAAACTTACATATTATGTAATAAGGGTAATATTGTAATATAATGTATTAAAATTTTCCCTCCCCTCCAAATTCCCCCACTTTTGGAGGGGAGCAAAAATGGGGAGGGGAGGGAATTTTAACTTAAAATTTTCCTTCCCCTCCTACCCTAAATTCCCAACCAAACAAGGGAAAAGTAAAAAATGTCCTCTCCTCCCCTCCCCTCCCCTCATTTTTCCCCCAACCAAACAACCCCTAAAAAAAAATAACACTACAAGAATGAACAGACGAGCACAAATACTTGCATTCAACCACAGCTGCAGCTCTCATATCCCATGATTCCAAATTCCCACAGCACCAGATGACAGCTTTCATGTTTGTCCATATGGCAGGGCACATTTTTTTCCAGTTATTATTGGCTGCATATTTGAGTACCCAAAGAGCACACACAGTATAGGCCTCCACTGAACTTCCAATGAAGTCCCATACCTGTAAGTCCAACTCCTCAAACCTAACCTACTGTGTCTGCATGAACCCCTTTCATTATCCTCACTCTTCTCACCTGACCTCTCACTCATCCCCAGCCGCCTAACGTATAGCCTTGGTACTTCCACATTTCTCACATAAGTAAACATAATCCACTCATCCATAGCCCTTTTAAATAATTCTGTTTCCAGCACTTAACAGCTCTACACTGAAGTAAGATATGATCAATATTTTCCTCACTCCCAAAAGACCTCACATATTATATCAAATTCAATTCGTCTCTTTCTCAGTTGTACCCTAGTCCCCAACAAACTCATGGCAACATTTGCCGACTGAGGCATTACATCAAACACGTAATGTGCTTTTAAGAATTCAACAAAACCAACATATCACTAATCAATCGCTAGTTAACAAATCCACATCTTCACATCAAATCATTGTTCGTAACAATCAATTAAAATAAAAGGATACGAAGCCCAAGTAAAAATTTTCACCAAAACAACCTATGTTAATAACACCACTACAAGGGTTTTGTACTATAAGCATGCCAAGAATATCCAAACATATTTCACTCTCTAAATAAAGTTACCTCAATGAATCGTGCGTGCGATTGCAATCTCTACATACAAAATTCTATCGACAAATTACATATTGATCGTAAATCGTTCGAATATATGTTTGGGTAATTATACTGTTCTGATATTGACTCATGAGGAGAGGATGAAGGAGTTGGTCGGTCTGGTATGTAGAAGAACAATGAGGAAGAAGATGAAGTGGAAGAATGTTTGGTTTTGTCCATTTTCTTTTTTCCCAAATGAGGAAGTCGAATTGGAATCTTAAAATATAATTTTATGTTGTTATGAAATTATTTTAAATTTGTAGGATTGTTATGTAATTTACAAAAGAATGTAGGGGCTTGAGAATAAATAAAATAGGTACAAGGAGTACGAAGGGTATAATGGATTTTTACAAGTACGAGGGGTACGAGACAGAGTACAAGACTACCAAAATTCTTTTTTGCCTTCTACCCTTCAATCCATCGTTTATTGTCATATTTTAGTCAATCCAACGGTGAAATGGGGGGTTACCTGATGTTAAGTCGGTACAACTAGGACCTGACTATAGAAGATTCCAACTTAAAATGTTAAATTGTTTTCAAAAAGTTCGAAATTATTACTAAGACTAAGATGTTCTCAAAAAATAAGTAGAGAGTACTTACAAAAAATGTCCTTCCGGTCTCAATTTGTTTATCCTTTTCCCTGAAGGAAAAAGTCTTTCTAAGTATATTAGTAGACATGGCCAAAACCAGGGTCGGGTCACGACCCGGCCCGGCCCGCCGTGTCGCCGGGCTAGAAAACAATGACCCGGACTCGGCACGGACCTATACTCGTACCGGGTCAATGGTCCGGTTGACCGGGCCGGGTCCGGGTCCAGGCCAAGCCTGGTCCGTCATTTTTTATAAACAGTAGAAAAAAATAAAAAAAATAGAAAAACGGGTCATCGGCCCAGCGGGCCTACTGCCCATCAGAAATCGTCCGGTCCCGGACCCATGGTCAACAAGTTTGACCGGGCCAGGTCTGTGTCGGGTCGGCGGGCCGAGCGTCCCTTGGCCATGTCTATACATTCGTAATTGGTTGTTGCTTAAATTTTCAAAATAAAATCATCATATTACTTTGTTGCTCTTACGGAGTTAGAGATTCAAAAATATCATCAAATGTGTTTCCATATTTTATTTGTGCACCACAAAAATGTTATCTTCAAGGTAAATATGGAAAATTTTTAAAAACAATTAATAAAGTGTTAATATCATTTCAATGTATATACCAATCTAAGGACCAATTTTAGACATGGTGTCTTCATACACCAATATTATAAACCAGTTCATTACTCAACATACTTGAAAATAATTGAATATTATCGAACTTCATACAATATCTCTTTAAAAGTTAAGAGTTTTTTATGCAATTAACCTAAAAAAACAGTAAATTTTGCTAGATATCTCTTTTAAAAGAGAATAAATTTTGCTATCAAATTGATCGAAAATACAATATCAGACGTCTAGGTTTCTAAAACCTAGACAAAATGAATTAGAACTTGAAAACAATTGCCCTAGTGGTAACCGCATTCTCTTGGATTATATTGAACAATTGTCAAAGAAGAATCTTGAAGAATTATAAACACAAGCCAGTTCCACTTATTTCTTTGTTCTACATGGCGCAATTAAAACACTAGGCTATATATCTCAGCAAGGGAAAATTACATATGTAAACTTCCTCCAAGAACTGTGAATCGCAACATTTCCTTGAACCAAAATGTATCATCCGAGGATCTTCCCATATTAGTCCGTCTTTGTATGGTGTACTCGGTAGTTATAGACGACAAATCCAAATGACACTACCAATCCAATCGAGTACCCAAAAATAGCACCATAAGTCACGCAAATTGGCCACTCCTGTTAAAATTGTAAATTTTCGAAGGCATCAGACAAGAAATATAGATAAAAGTGCAAGGCCAACATTCAAACATAAAATAGCATGATGTGTGTGGGTTAACTTTTGGACCATATGAGTAGTTTGAATGCATTTGTAGTGTTCTGATAATGGAAAACAGTAAAACGTTGAAATCATAAGGGATATCCTCAATTAATTTATAACTAAAACAATGTACACAGAGAAATCAGCCAATTAGCATTACCAATTGACCGCTTAATCTCAGTTAGAAGAATTGTTAAGATATTAGTCACATCAACATTCTCCTTTCTGTTTCGTATTTCAGATTATCGGAAGTGGTATTTAAAAAAAAAAAAAAAAATGTAGAAAAATGTAAATGCAAGGCTAGTTAGCATTAAGTTATTGAAAGTGCGTGTACATTCTATAAGGCTACCAAAAAAACTATTAAATACTTTTTCAGGTCGAAAATGCAAGAAAAAATGCAGAGTTCCACTACCTGCCAAGGTCTTTCCCAGTCAAGAGGCATAGGCCATGCGCCAAACCAAGCCCCAATAACAGCTCCATGTGCAGATAAACAGATAATTAGATCTGTAGAACCCACTGATCTGCATATGGAAATCATGAGACACTAATCAACGTGAACTACACTATGGTTTTATGGAGATGGCAGAAATGCCCTAACTGAGGGGTAGACAAAATTCCAAAGAGTAATTAACTTTACTTAGTGTGAGCAAATATCCGATGCCAGTCAGTCCAAGATGAACCATAAACAGCAGCTGCTGGGACAAACTGCCATAAATACAACATGAGATGGAGCATGATTATTTAAATGAACAAAGCAACAATATTGAGAAACAAAACAAAGACAAATAAAGCAACATGCAGCAGAATATAATCATACAAATGGGATACATACCGTGAAGAGGGACATTAGAAGAGACCAATGAACTGTCTTTTTGAAATGTCTGTATTCAGGAAAAAAACAAAGACATCAACAATCACTATTATAACAAACTTGCACTATTATCACAGTTCAACTAGTCTGCCACTGTTGAGGTTGAACTTTAGAATTTAAATGTCATGACATTTTTCAGTACCATTCAAACCACAAAAACCTATCATCTCCATCAGGACCAAAAATAACAAAGATTAATAGCTGAATAATAGCGTATGATCATAGGAGGAGTTTTCACATAATCTATGACAGATCTGACGTATTTTTCCAACCACATCACGTTTTTTTTTTTTTT